CTTCTGGGAAAGAGGAGAGGAGCAACCCCTGGGGGAGGGGGAGGGAGTGGCTGTTCAGTCAAGCTGGTCAGGTAGGTTGGGACACAAGGGAGGATCTGAAGGAAGCAGCCAAGGGGCAGAGCCTTCTGTGCAGGACAGACAGTAAGAGCTGGAGTGCAGGGCAGGTGGGCTCCAGGGTCCATGGGAGACGCAGCAGTGACTGGACAGGAGCTCAGAGATTCGGTCTACACAGGCTGGCCACTGTGACCGAGGCGGGACACGGCGGGGGATGGGGGGGGCAGTGGAGCGGGGTCAGACCCCAAGGGCTCTGGGTCGCTCAGTTAGTTTGGAGATGCTGTGGCCCGGTGAGACACACACCAGCACAGGGCCGGGGTCTGGGAGTCATCGCACAGAGGTGGCAGTTGGGGCCATGGACTGGGGTAAAGCGAGCTCAGAGGGCTGAGGGACTGAGTGTGGGACACCCCCCAACATTTCAAGGTCAGAAACAAGAGGCGGAGCCAGGAAGAAACTGCTCTGGAGGCTGGAGTCTAGTGTTTCCCAAGTGGAGGGTAGCAGCAGGGCCAGGAGACGAGCTAGGAACAGTCTTTACGGATGAACTTCCACAAGGGATGTGACAGGGTACATGAACTTTGAATCTCATTAAGTGAAATGTTACTCCCAAAAAGAATTCCACCTTCTCACAAGTGGACCTGTATTACCAAAACACTGGTATTATAATACTGAATTATTGTATGTAAAATCCGGTCAGGAAATGTTTGTGGAAATTTGTTTTTTCTGCTGTTAAACAGGAACTTGTGTAATCTCTTCTATTTTGCTGGCTCCCATGAGGATCAGGAACCCCAGCCTGGGGGCGCCCTGGCCAGTCGGAAGCATGCTGGGATTGGTGCCCATGCCATCTGGGGGAAGCTGGGTCACCCATTCCAACTGGGTTTCTGCCACTGATGGGGAGGTCACACAGGGTATGCAGTGGCCTCGGGAGGGGCGGAGGTCACAGCAAGAACAGGTCACTGTCCTCAGCACCTCTCCTAGGTGGCACCCGGAGCTGCTGCAGTTCGGCATTGCTTGGGTGACGCTCCGATTCGTACGTCTGCTGCACAAGATCCCAGGTCCACACGGACAGGGACCAGGTCTGCTTTCCTGGGAGCCTCCGGTGCCGGGCACCCAGGCAGCACTCTGAAAACACTTGGGGAATGAACAGGTGAAAAGCAGCCCCCAGCCCAGCCCACCCCAATGTCTGGCCCAGTGCCTTGCGCCAAGTAGATGTTCAGGAAACATTGGCTAAAAAATTAAATTTTGGCTCTTGCGCACTTTCTAGCTGAAGTGTGTCCCTTGGTGCCTTTGAGACGGCGGGGCAGGGCTGAGCCCAGGGGTGGGCAGCGCACTTCTGATGACTCCGCTGGCCCCTTGAGCCAGCCCCCAGGCCTGCCTCAGCCTGTAGGTGGGAGGCCAGACCCATTGAGCAGAACAAAGTCATGTTCATTTCCCTTTGTTTTTCCCAAGAAGTTCCAGTCACCACCCAGAGCTCCAGATCGGGAGGTCTGCGGAAACCATGGCCCCATCCCTGAGGGCCTTCCAAATGGGGACTGAAAGGGGAGAAGAGGAGTTCTGGTACGTGAAAGGCGGACAGGCTGGGGAGCCCTGCTGGGGGGACTGTGGGTATACAGTTGGCACAGCAGGTAAAAGCACTGGCTTTGAAGTTAACAAGTAAAAATTAGTTGCCCTTCTGCTGTCTCTGGGGATCAGAGCTGTGTGACCTCGGGCAGGTGGGCAGCCTCTCTGATCCTGTTTGTACTTCTGTGTACCAGTGTCTACTAACTCTCACACCCACGCATGAGGCCCCCAGACCTGTGGATGGGGGAAGGGCCGGTGGTGTCCCCAAGGTGATGGGGTGGGTGCATCTCAGGCCCTCCACTGGGGAGCCCAAGCCTTGAACCCAGCCCATCTGGCTCCAGGCCCAGGGCTTTTCCTCCTCCCATACTGTCCCTCTCTGGGGGCAGAGTTTGGTGGGTGCAAGTCAGCCCATCCCTTCTGGTGGCAGAATGGTGAAGAATGGCTCATGACATGGGGAGAAGCTGGACGCTGTCCCATCATGACGCCCTGGACCCGGCCTTTCTCTGCTCCACTGGGTCCCCGCTGTTACATCACCATGTGGCCCTGGGAAAGCCATGCTACTCAGGGATGCCCAGGAGTCAGCCTCAAATAGACCTCCCTGCTTCTAGAGCCTTCCTTAAAGGGGCCTTTCAGAGCAGGCAGAGCAAGGGTGCCTGCCAGAAAGCCACAGGAGCGCCAGTGGCCTCCCTGCTAGCCCCATGCTGTGCCCCAAGTAAGGAACCCCTCACTGTGGGAGAAGGGGGTCCCCTTCATAGTCTCGGCTCCTTGCCTAGCCCTAAGTGCAACAGTGGAGAGCGTGGGGGTGGGCCTGAGTCCCGTCAGGGGCCCGTGGCCCAAGGGTGCAGCCACTCCCAGGAGGGCCAAGTGTTGTCCCTCATGGGCCGGCTGCAGCCGCCCAAAGCGCCACCATTTCAGCTCGGTGCTCAGCCCTGGCCCGTGGCTCTGGGGCAGCAATGTGCACAGTACTAAGAGACCCAGGGGAGACACAGCCCTCAGAGAGCCTGCGCTGGAGCAGGTCATCAAAAGAGGGGGTGGAGGGCGGCAGGGGAATGGCAGGGTGGGAGGGCTGGGGACAGGGTCCAGACTGCCAGGGGCTTCAGGAGCAGCGACAGAGTACAGGTCGTGGACTTGAGTCCAGTGTGGGGCCAGGAGGCAGGGCCGAGGAGAGAGAGTCTGGAGGTCAGCCGTGCCATGCAGCCTCTGGAGCATGGACCCAAAGAGGTCATGGCCCCCCAGGCTCTCACAGGGACCAGAAACCATGCAAACTATTTTTGTAGCTTTCAGAAGCTGCTCCCCTCAAAGCATGACTAACTCAGAAACAGCTGAACTTCAGAAACTCAAAGCTGCCCACGTGGCTGGTGTGGGTCCCCTAGGGAACCGAGAAAGAAACTTTAAAGAAAAAAAAAACTCATAAGCCCTCAGAAATCACTTCTACCCAGAGAGGGAGAAACAGTTCTATCTGGGGCCGGGGTGGCCCTGGGCTCACTTGGAGAAACACACAGAAGAATGACTTGCAATGTGACTTTGGGAAGAAAGTGGGTCTTTGGCTCTGCCTGGCCTCCCCCTACCCTACTCACCACAGCCACAGGATCCTGCTGGACAGGAAGATGCACCATCTCAGGACGGACATGTCACGAAGCTTGGTGCTCTGCTAGGCAGCCGCCTGCCCACTCACATCTGCTTGGGCCCCACAGGGGACAGCTGCAAGGTACAGGCCAGGGGCAAGACTCCCCTGACTGCCTGACTGGCTCGCAGGACCACCCTCCTAGGGGCGGCTGAACAATCACCCCCGAAGACGTCCACACCCTAATCCCTGGAGCCTGTAAGTAAGTCACCTTACGTGGCCAAAAGGCCTTTACAGACGTGACCCTGATATGGGGAGAAGATACTGCATTGTCCGGGTGGGCCCAGAGTAATTACCAGAGTCTTTCTGAGGGGGGGGAGGGAGACAGTCAAGAGAAGGGCGATGTGACCACAGAACCAGAGCCAGAGAGAGATCTGAAGATGCTACACTGAGGACGGGGTCAGTGGCCACCAGCGATGGAAAGGGGAGGCCTCCAGAAGCATCTGCAGAAGGAACAGAGCCCACACCTTGGCCTTGGCCCCATGAGACTGATTTTGGATTTCTGATCTCCGGCACTGCCAGATGATCAACTTGTGTTGTTTTAAGGCACTAAATCTGGCATGAGGTGCTCCAGCAGCGGAGGGGTACTAATCCGGGTCCCCAGGGCCACTGCTGCTCACGCTGCCGGGGTCCTGCCCTCTCCCCGCTACTCAGCAGGAGCCTGGCCCTGGGAGGTTCTGGGAAGGTGATTCTTCCTGCAAGTCTTAACAGGATTTGCCTCACCCACAAGCAGAGTGGCTACCCAGAGGGTGAGATTTCTGGAGCAACAGGGTAACACCCGCCTACACCCGAGACCTCTCTCCCTCCCTGCTGGCTGAGGCCCGAAATTCCTCCGGAGCACAGCCCTTGCTTCGGTTCCCACATAGGGGCGTTTGGGAAGAGGTCGTTCCAAAGGGAGGGTTACGTTAAGATGTAGATGATCTGCATCATATGTTCCCTGTGAGCTGGTTCCTGAGTAGGGGTGGGTGTCCACGCAGGAGAGAGGGTTTCTGGAAAGTCTCCTGGGACAGGGACTCCATCAACCCTCCAGACTCACACGTCCCTCCTGCCCCTCATGTCTCGGCCATCCCCACGTTCTCCTCTCAGGCCCATTTTCTCTGCTGAGCCAAGCTGTTCCTGGCTCCCTCATCAAGAGATGGGGTTCCTCCTCTTTCCAGGCCTGGACTCACTAGCCCCCGTCACAGAACACACCACTACGGGGGGGGGGGGCGGTGCTGGGAGAGAGACTCTCCCCAGGGGGGGGTCTTTGCAGAACTAGGGGACCAACCCATGGGCCACACTGGCTCCAGGATCGCCCAGGCTTCCAGAACCCCAAACTTGAGACCCCAGCTCCTCCATCCCAGTGCAGCCAGGGACACCGGGTGTCTAGGACAGTGACACACACCCAGTGACACCAGGAGTCTCCAACTCACTGCCCCCGGGGCCAGGCCTGGCCCCAGGAATGAGGGAAGCAGCCAGGCTGAGCGCAGCCTCTGGGAGGAGCAGGGTCTGTGATCAGTCACCCCAACCTTCTTCACAGAAGTCCGTCTTCACACGCACATACCCACGTGAGGCAGGCCGCTCGTGCAGTCACTGGTCACGTTAGAGCCCTTCTTTCTCTGCTCTTCTCTCTCCCGCCCCATATGCGGGAGGCCCCCTCAACCAGTGCACACAGAGTCCACAGGTTAGATCCTGAACGATTTCCCAGACTCATCTGTACGTGGCAGACGCCATGCAGAACCTACCACAGGTGCTCAGGAGGGCAAGGAACAGCATGCGCTCCCGGGACAGGTCACAGGGGTCCACATTTAATGTTAAATATGAATAAAAGTACAGCGTGACCATGGCTCATGTAACATGCCTGCCACTACTAAGGGTGTACAACTGAACACAGTCCAACACGCAACTTTGGGGACACAAAGTCACTTCGATACCAGGTCGTGAGAAATGCTCCCTTTCACTTTGGTTTTGGACAACAGGCTCGAGGGCCGCCGTCTGGAACGGTGCCCGGGCCGTCAACGAGAACCGGGCCTGAACGCGACAAAGTAGAGGTGACAGATACACCCTCCAGAGATGGCTCCTCGAAAGAAACTGGATGGCACGGATGGGCGCGAAGGGCTGGGCCTGCATATACAAAAAAATTTGTAGAATAAACCAGATAATATTGGAAATAATAGCTCCGGTAATACTTCTGTAAGAAGCAGAATTACACTACATGTTATTCACATGCATAGGAGTGTGTAGGAAAAATCCTTTGTCGTCGCGGTGGTTGGAGTAGAATAGCAAAACGTGTACTGGAAGTGACAAGTTTGTAGGCAGAGAAATTAATCCACAAGAAGGCTGTGTCCAGAGCGGAGGCGCCTCATCAGCAACAGAAGTGGAAGGGAGCCCACTCAGAAGAGGCACCCACGCGCGCGCACACACCCTCCACTGCAGATAAATACACATGCACGCTGGAGTGATATCTCCCGCGGCCCCCCGGGCTCAGGCCAGACTCCCCCGCCAGCCCCGCTCCACCTGCTAGCTGTGAGGGAAAGGGAAAGGGGGCATTGTCCCACAAAGCGGGTCTCAGGGCACACAGCCCCTTCGGGAGCAGAAACGGCTCGGCCGTCCATATGGCCCTCTGCATGCTGTCAGATGGGCTGCGTGTCCCACCTCCTGATGGCAGAAAGACAGTGGTGCCAGGGCTGGACAGCTGAGCGAACCCGCATGTCTGCGAGCGATGGCTGGACACGAAGACACCTGCACTTTCTGACTTTGGCGTTAAGGGACCTTGACCAGAGGGCTCTGGTTCGCAGGAAGCTTCCCTTGAAAACACTCCAGGGCGAAGTCTCATCAAGGTCCCACCTGGGGCTGGGTGCCAAGTGCGCTCCAGGGTCCTCTTCAATCTCTCCCCTTCACTTCCAAGAAATGACGAGACCTTTACTCCATCTATTGGGAAACCAAATTGCCGAGGGGCCCAGAAATTGCCATTAAGAATCCCAGCATACCATGCTCGGCCCACGTATAGCTCGCTCACTGTGTTTCTGAAACAGAACACAAGCATCTTGTAGTCTGTGAACACAGTAAGGGCCTCTGGCCACATGTGGTGGAGAATGTGGTAAAGAGCTCACTCGGGGAAAGCAGAGCAACGGAGTGTGTCTGTGGCCAGAACTAAAACTTAAAACACCCTCCAGGCCTGGTAGTGACCTTGAGTGCATGAGGAGAGTCCAAGATACCCAGATTTCCCATAAAGAGTTCAATTCTTGGAAGTTGCTCAGTCTAGAATTAACAGCAAAAACTTCCCTTCCAATTATAAACTGAAAAAACTCTGGAGGAAACACATTAAGAGGCAGAAAAGAGAGCTATGCCTAACGAAATGCAGAAAGTGGTTTTAAACATTCATTTTCTAGTTAAACCTAAGTAAAGCAAGGACAGAATGGGAGATGGTCCGAGAAACGAATGTGCTACCAAAGTTCGACTGCTTTTTCTCTCTCATACAAGTAAAGGGAACAGGGTTTACATCCGAAGAGAATAAAGGGTGGACTTTGGAGTAAAAGGAAAAAGGGAAAGAGCCTCCATTCTCTGCCCAAATGAAGGTACTGATCTGAATGGTGTTTCAGAACTGAATGGAAGTGCAAGTGACCTCTAGCGTGGGGGCGTGACCTCCGGCATGGTGGCGTGACTCCGGCATGGTGGCGTGACCTCTACCGTGGTGGCGCGACCTCTAGAATGGTGGTGTGATCTCTACCATGGGGCATGACCTCCAGCGTGGTGGCATGACCTCCAGCGTGGTGGCATGACCTCCAGTGTGGTGACGTGACCTCTGGCATGGTGACATGACCTCCGGCATGGTGATGTGACCTCTGGCATGGTGACATAACCTCCAGCATGGTGACGTGACCCTGACGTGGTGACATGACCTCCGGCATGGTGGCGTGACCTCCTGCATGGTGACATGACCTCCAACGTGGTGGCGTGACCTCTGGCGTGCTCAATCGGATCCCAGCATCATCAGCCCCCAGCCATACCTCCCCTGAAGCCCCCCGCCTGGCGCTGCCCGCCTCACCCCCGCAGCCTGGCCGCTCTGGTGCAGGAGGGATCAGTTTCCCCAGTGGAGTTTCCAGTGGCCTCGGATGGGGGAGTTCCATGAAGGGTCAGTTGCCAGGTTATTTCACACCACAAATGCTTACACTAAACACGTGCCTGGGAGGGGAAGAAGAATCTCAGGGTTTTCTCCACGCTGTGAGTAAAAGGGCCCCCCACCCTCAAAGAGACTCTTCTGTCATGGTACAGTGGAACCCGCCGCAGGAGCTCGGCCCTCAGGTCTTCCTCCAGGCGAATGCCTCGTCGGCGAGCACCTGTGCCAGCCTGGTGTTGAAGGGCCCATAGAAGTCCTGCAGGATCCTCTGGGTGACCGGCCACATGGGCCCCAGGTTCCGGTCCTCGGGGCGCCGCGCGTTGGATGCGGGGCTCTTTGTCATCAGGGTCTCTTGTTTCTCACCTAAGGGCCCTGGAACACAGAGAAAAACTCCCATGAGGCCGGAGGCGCGGCAGGAAGGAACTCTGCAAAACTCCCAGCCATGCTTCGTGTTGAGACAGGAGCTCCCCTGAAGTGCTGGGAGATGAAAATTCTTTGGCTGGACCCCTCCTGGAGTTGCTGGGGGTGGAAAGTGGAAGCGCCTTCATGAACGAGCAGGGACTCACCAGCCTGGGGTTGCACACCTGCCCTCGGAAGTGTGGCGGGATCTGGGGGTTGCAGCCTCACCCAAGCCTCACCTCCTGCTTTCGTGACCACATCGCCACAAAGGGCTGGCTCTCGTGGCCATCAGCCTGTTCCTGGATAACTGTCCGACCTGCCTGACATGGTCCGTGTGCTTAGATTTTCCTGCTAACCAGCCTACCCGAATTCTGCCAGTGTCATTTCTGCTTCAGGCTGCTGATGCAAAGGGCATGTGGCTGGGCCCTATTTCACCTTGCGTATTGTGCTGTATGGTAGCCATGGGGGCTGGGGGGAGGCCACCTATGCTCAGAGACCCCATGAGCTGAACCTCCGTCTGCAGCAAGGGGATCGGGGGGGAGTGAGGCCCAGAAACAAGCCAGCCACCCCTATCCCCAGCCCTCTGGACCACAGGCCTCTCATTGGCTTAACCAACCAGATCACTGCTCAGGCCCTTGGGATTTGGCCAAAGTCCTGAGCCTTTACACAGAAAACCCTATTCCAGTGTCCTTGGGTTAGGTGTAATAGAAGGAACAGAACTGGTCTTCACTGTCTCAGGGACTAAAGACAAGCTCATCAATGCAACAGAATCCACCAGTGGCCAAATCAAAGAAAAATGGTTCTGGGCCCTCAAAGGGAAAAGTAATCACACTCCCTCATATCACCAGCTCACCCATGACAAAAGAGTTCCAAGACCAGTGGTGGGCAAATATACTTCAATCAAGAAATATTCCAACAAAATTCCCAGGCCAGATCATTAGACGGGGCCATGGGAGGAATCCTGGGAAGGAATCTGAACTCTGCTCTAGACTTTCAACAAGCAGTCCACGGGTGTCCATCCGCATGGGCAGCACTCCACGTCCACGGTCCCACCCCTACTGGCCATCGCCATGGCCACGAGCAGCAGACCTACCCCGACGTGCCACTCAGCTACGTGGCCCCGACTCCAGGGGTCCCCAAAACCCTGAGACGATACGATGACCCGTCCATTCCCTCCTCCAAGCCTGGGCTTCCGCAGGATTGTTCCAGCCACACACTGACAGCTCACCCTCCTCAGGGCTCAGCTCACACACCATTCTTTCCATGAAGCCTTCCATTCCACCCTTCAGCAGCTGGGACCCCAAGTCATGCGTACGAACCTACGGTGAGGGCACTACCCTTCCCCCATGTCATACTACCGGTTCCTTGGTTATTTGAGCGGCGCCTTTCCCCTCTCCCTCTGCTGGACTCAAAGCTCCCCGATGAGGGACCCCCTCACCACCTCGGCACCAGGCCCTGTGCTTGGCGAACAGCTACTGAACAAGCGGCCCACCTCAGCCTGGCCTGGCCCAGTGCACGGAGGCTGCACGTGACTCAGCGAGCACCTCGGCCGGCCAGGGTGCACAGGGCCCATGCCAGCTCCATGGTCTCCCGCGTGATATTCCTACCGAGGTTGAGAAACTGGAAGACCCTGTGCATGGTGTATTTGACGTTGGATGCATGGTCTTCCAGGCGAAGAATGAGGAACTGTTCTTTGTTAAAGACAGTGAGCCAGTCCAGAAGGTACACAGCATACAGACCGACCTGGAGCCTCACCTAGAAACAAAGAAGAAGGTAGGCGTTACTTCAGGAGTCATTCCCCCAACACTTTTCCCAAAGTATTATGGCATGTGCACGAGCCAACACCAAAAGAGCTAACCGAGTGAACAGCTGCCTTCAAAGGGCGGATTTTAAACGCCATGCATTCTTGAGTCCTCATGGAGGGTTCTGAGCTCCCCACACCAAAGGTTCCTACTACTCAGAGTCGCATGGAATCCTCATGATGACCCTGTAACTAGCGGCGTGACAGGTTTTGGAGCGAAGACTTGGGTGAAGGAAGAGGCTGAGAACGCACGCATGAACAGTACAAATGTTCTCTGCACAATGACCTGGCTGTTTCAGCTCCTACGCCAGCACACGATGGCCATGCAAAACGCCTCGGGCACAAGCCAGGTGAGTGACCCGCCGGGTGCCTGGGGCCACCCGAACACCTGTGACCAGGCAGCTGTGTGGACATCCAAACAGCAGTGTTCGATGTGGCCACTACATGTCCGGCGGTCCCCGTCCTCCGGTGCCTCTCACACCCAGCTGCAAGACTGCACACTGAAGAGTTAACCTTACCCAGAGGGAAATCTGGCCCCTGTCCTCGGCTCCTGGGAGGTGACCTCTAGGTCACCTAGGATGTCCTACCTGATAAGTATCTTTGCTCACCTGGGGCATCAGGCCACCCAACAGTAAACGGTTGAGTTATGATGGGGACTTTGGGTGACACAGGATCAGTGTGACCTGCGGCAGGGGCTGGACAGTAAAGGTGGTATGTGACTGAGCCCCAGGAAACACCTGCCACCAAGGTTGGCCACCAAGGCTTGGCTGGGCTTCCTTCGTTGGCCAGGCTTGGTGCGGATCATGTGCTTCTTCCCTGTGTGGGTTTTAACGGGTCCCCCTTCCCTGCTGTAAGTTGTAACCACGAGTACCACAGTCTTCAGTGTGCCCCATGACTCCTTCCAGTGACTTACTGAACCCCAGAAGTGTTTCTGGGGACCCCCGACTTACAAACCAAGTGAGAGCGGTCTTGGCACATCCCGGCTAACTTCACAGTTGCTGCTAAGCTATTCAGAGCTTCAGGAGAGAACAGCTCTCTCCCCTTCTGCCCTGAGGCTCCTTCTCCCGCCCTCCCCAAGTCCTCGGGACCCTGCTCCCCTTCCTGTCTGCTGTTCTGCCTCTGTGGCCTTCCCAAATGTTTCCCTCTGCTGCCTCTGCCTCGCTTCCCGCCAGCCCCCCCGGCAGGCCCCGCTGTCACAGCCTCCTGGGCTCGGGTCTAGCCTCCGAGCAGCCAGCCCTCGCCTGCCACCAGTATAAATTGTCCCCACCGGTGGTCTGGCCGTGCTGCCCCACGCCCAGCCCGCCTGCTGTCCCAGCGTGGAAAGCTCGAGGTCCGGCTTGTGCTCAGCCCCCAGGTGCCCCCTCCGAGCCTCGCTCCTTAAGCTGAGGGCTCAGGCCCCTCCGTCATCCCCTGCCGCACAAGGCCAGCCGGGCTCCGACTACCTCTTTTCCTCTCCTGCTGTTCTTTTCCCATTTCATTATTTTTCTAATCATGTGGGAGGATGCGGAGGAAGGAAAACAGTGAGAGGGGATAAGCTGTCTCCAAAACTGATGAGCTGCCGCAAGCCCCCAGGTTGTCGCTTCCTTGTGCACCAACCCATAAAGAAGACCGCAAGCTGGACCAAAGCCACAGAGAAAATGAGTATGTGCCAGCCTCAGAAATCCTGTGTGTGTCGCCTCTAACACAAACAAACTGTGATGAGAAGACCTTCTCGAGCCATCAGCCTCACAGAGCATTTCAATTCTCTGTCAGGCTCACGGCCTCCCTCAGCCTCATGAAGGTCATCTCTTCCAGAGAACCTGCCTTTGGGGCTTGAGAACTTTCTAGAATGAAAGAAGCTGGTGTTGGTGACAGGGCAGGGCCCTGTATAATCGCTGGGAACCCACTCCTGACCTGGCCACAGGTGACAGACTATTTCTCTGCAAGCCTGTTTGTGCCCATCGTGGGCAGAGCCCCCACCGCTGCTCCCTGGAGGAGGAAGACCTGCTGGCCGAGGCCCTCCTGCAGTGGGGTCTTCCCTCACGGGCGGCGATGGCCCCAGCGGGGGAGGGGGGCTCTGCAGGGGAAGGGAGGTGGGCTGGCTCCCACAGCTGCAGGCTCCCCAGTCCCCTTGAACACCCCCTCTTCTGACCCGCCTGCCCCTTTACCACTCCAGGAAAACTCTGACCGCCCCGAGTGACACTCCCTGGTGCACACAGCATCACTACCACAACTGGGCACCATTAAGACACACGTAGGACAGGCCCCCTCAGAGTTGTTCGACTTTGCCTTTCCCCCACAGAGGCCGGAGAATCAAAATGGACTAAAGATAAAAAGGGTATTTAGGAGAAGAGTCTGGTAGATTTAAAATTACAAAACATCAGAGCTGAGAGAAGCCTTTGCAATGATCTGCCCCAGCCGACTCTTGATGGAGAAAGGGAAGCCCAGGGAGGAGTGGGGGCCGGCCTGGGGTCAGCTGGGAGCACCACAAGCAGGAGGAGCTGGGCGCCAGGGTCCCCGCCACCGGGGCTTCCCCCCACGTGGGGACAGAGCCAAGGAAGGGTGGCTACAGGGCTCTTCCCAGATAGGCGCCATGCCAAGCCTCTCCGTTCCCAATCGGGGGTTCAGGTGGAGCTCCCCACCCAACCCATCTACTATCTGCTAGTGTTGAAAACCCGTTTGTTGTTCATTCATTCATTCTGCAAATAACTGAGTGCGCGTGGCACGCCAGGTGCCCCCCGAGCCAGTGGAGATGCGCTGCCATGTAACCAACACGGCTCCTAGCCTCCTGGAGCCTCGTGGGGGACACAGAGCTAAGCTGCTGAAGAAACCAACATCAGGAACCACCGGCTGTGGCCCATGCTACGGGAAACAAGCAGGGTGGGGACAGAGAACAGAGGTCAGAAGAAAGAAAGACCCAAAGAATGAGAAGCCCTGCCACACCCGGGGAAGGAAGTGGGAAAAGGCACTAGAACCTGTTTCTCCAACCTAAGGGGACAACAGATCTGCCTGGAGGGGGCTGTTAGATAGATTGATGGGCCCACCCCCAAGGTGCTCATTTCTGGGGTCTGGGGTCAGCCTGACAGTTTGCATGTCTGACAAGTTCCCAGGGGACGCTGACGCTGATGCTGCTGGTCCAGGGACACGCTTTGCAAACGCCGGCTCTGAGGCAAGAAGCTGGCCTGAGGACCTAGGAGGAGAGCGTGTGGCTGCAGAATAGCAGGGGAGGGGGGCGGGGAGGAGGAGGCCCGGCTGGCTCATGCCTTCCGGTGCCATGGGTAGGCAGTGCATGTCTGCAGAAGGGTAGTACCAAGGTCCACCTATGTTTGAAAAAGATCGTCCTTCCTGTGCTGTGGTTGAGCTGGGATTCACAGCTGGAGGGAAATCTGCTTCCCTCATCCCAGAATTGATGATTCCCCCCTCAAAGCAGGGTTTCCCATTGCTCCTGACAGCCTGGCTCTTCCTGCTGAGCAGGAACTGGCCAGGGGTCAAATCTGCGATCTGTGACGCCCGCCACCCCCTGTCCTATCCACCCATCCTGCCCCTGGGCATCTCTCTCTGACCAGAGGTGTCTGCTAAGCCATCACCTCGTCAACCTCAGCAAAACCTGAGATTAAATGAAAAAAGCCAGTTCAGACCTTTGCTCTTGGGAGCTAGCCAGCTAAGGTGGAAATGCCTTGAGTCTGCAAGGCCACAGGACCTGGGACGAACATGAGGCCTGTTACCAGCTCTAAGTCTCTGGGTGGGAGAGTTAATGTCTGTGAGCCTCAGTATCCTCATCTGTAAAATGGGCATGGATTTCAGGGCAGCATGGAGGACAGAACATGATGTAACAGAAAAGCTCAAGACAGCGCCTGGTGCAGCATCGGGAGTAAACCAAGGTTAGATCCATCGTCCCAATCTTATCGGCAAAGGTGCCAAGGGGCTGGAGGCCCGGCAAGCTCAGGGCGGGGGGGGGGGGGGGCACGCAGAGGGCCCGGCGGCACAGACGTCCACTCTTTATGTCACATTTACGTCAGACGCTCATTCTTCCGTGAGAGACACACAATGTGAAGCCCCTGAAATAAGCTGTACCCCCAGTCAGGAGCTCCACCCGGCACTGCCCGGCCTTACCCATCCAAATCCAGCCAGCGTAAGGGCTTCCTCATAGAAGGCCCTGGAAGTAGAGCCCACACCTATGCCTCCCTTTCAGAGCGTCTGCTAGATAATCTCCTCAAGAGAGAACTCAGTAGTCACGCAGCCTGGGATGTGGGAGAGCAAGACCTCAGTGGGCAAAAGAGACAATAAGAACAGGAACACACATAAATGACAACAGCTCTAGGCGTGTGGCAAAAGCCAATTCTTCCCGTCATCGGTCTGCGCTGAGAACAGTGATGACAGTAAGAGAGAGAGGCCTGCTGAGCTCAGTCCTCCCAACCACCACAGCCCCCTTTAAGAACTCACTAGGACCCACGCTAGCAGTCTTATACACGGTTCCTGGCTGCCCCTCACGTGACGGCTCTCTTGACTTGTTTTTCCCTCCCTGCTTCCGCATCCTTTACATTCTACAATAACAATAATAAAACCGAGAGTCCGCCTGCACTTCTTGCTGGTGCCAGGCCGCGCAGCCCCTTTGGGCCTCTCTATTCCAAATTATTGGGCTCTGAGTAACCATCTGATCTCTGGACAAGTGTGCTACATGGCACTGGGACAGGATGGTTCCAGCACCTTCTCTGAACCGTGCTGGCTGGATGAGTCACCTCCACTCTCCCTGTCCTGCCTTGTGCCCTCCCTCCCTTCCAGGCCATGTCCCGGCTGGGGTTTCTTTCAGCACTGAACACGGTGCTGAGCACAGGATGGGCACCCAGTGTATGCCCTTGGAGATGAATCGAGCCTCAGCTGTGAGTGAGGTCAGTCCCCACTTCACTCCACGCCTACGAGTTTTCAGGAAATGTGTCTGGGAAGTGGCTCTTCTCTCCAGCAGGCCCTGCATGGATGACCCTCATAGTCATAAATAATCACAATAAAAAGCAACAGCTAAGGGCCAGAGCCGTCTTGAAGCAAATACCGTACTTGGCACGCCAACCAGAAAACACGTGGTTTCCCCTCTGATCCCACCACCTCATCTAATCCATCTGCACATCCTTTCTGCTGTTTCTCCTACTAATTGTTTCTAGAAATCTCCGTCCTTTCCTACCCTGACTCCACCACCAGTTCTCTTCCAGAAATCCCATCCCACCCCAACCCTGGCCTCCCTGTCTCTGCGAGACAGGCCCCCTCTCACCCCTGGGGACCCCGGACACCAGGCATCTTTCTCAAATGCAAAACTGCTGCAACTACCCTCTCCTTAAGCCCTCCTGGGGACCCATCTCCCTCAGGATGAAGTTCAGAGCTCCAAGGCTCACCAGATCCCCGGTGATGCAGGCTCACACCTCCCTCTTCCCATCACCCCACCACCCACTTACCACATGCTGTGGCGGCTGTAGCAAACACTCTCCATGCTCACCCCTCGGCCTTTGCACATCCTGCTCCCCTCACCTGGACGTCTCGCTATCTCCATGTCCCCAGGAGACTCATCCTTTAGGCCTCAGCTCAAACATTACCTCTCTTAGGAAGTCCCCCTGATGCCCTGTGTCCAGGTGGCCTCTGCTGGGGGCCACAGCTTCTATCCCAGCCTTTATGTCACTCACCCTGCTAGAGCTGGGGCTGCACCGGGACCCAAGGACATGCCTGTCCTGCCACGGCTGCAGTCCCAGCCCAGGTGCCAGGCACAGACACGGCGAGACAATGAATGCATGTGAAGGGTGGCAGAATACGCTGCCCTGAAATACACCACTTTGGTATAAGGATTATTTTGAGCTGAAGGCAAATGAGAAGAAACACAGATATAAGAAAATCTCTCTGCCCTCACCCCGTTTACCTACAAGCAGTACCTAAATTTGTAAGGGTGTCCTTCCTCCTCTCTCCACCAGGATGGACCAAAGCTTATCACTGGAGACAACTCTAGACCTTTGTCAGCCTTAAGATAGGACCAAGGATCTGACCTAACAAACCTCACTAAAACTCGCCCTTACCAGCCATTAGTCCCTCATACGTTTATTTGCCTTCTCACAATTTGTTGCCCTAGAAACTCAAAGTCCTTTCCCTTTGTCTGGTCACCTCTCTACAAATGTATTGTTCTCTTGTTAAGGCATTATGTAAGCCTGAGTTCTAACCATCCCTCTGAGTTACTCATCAGGGATGTGTGTATCTGCAACACACCCGTTAATAAACTTGTGGGGTTTTCTCTCTTGTGAATGTCTTCTGTCAGTCTAATTTATGGGGCCCCAACCAATGACTCTATGATGGCTAGAAGAAAAGGATTATTTATTTCTCCCCTCCATGTGAATGAACCATCGCTCTGATCCTTACAACAGCCTGGTAAAACAGTGGTATCACTCCATTTTATGAGGAAGCCACTGAGTCTCAGAGAAGCTAAAACAACTGCTCCGAGTCACACGGCTAGTAAATGCCCAGGCTGGGAACTGCACTGTCTCCCAGTGCAGCACTGCCAGAGGAGTGGCTCCACAGGCCACTCCTCTACCCTACACCCCTGGCCAGATTCTGTATGGATCTGTGCCCTTGTCGGCAGCTTCTCTGACAAACTAAAAACTCCGGCAGGAGAGCCTCGTTGCCTGATGCATCCTGCCAGAACTAGTACCCTGCCTTCCACAGAGGATGACCTCGATAACAAGAAAGGGTATGAAACCCCCCGACCTTGAACTCCCCACACCCAGGGGGTTCCCAGCCTCTACCGCCAGCACATCTGTCTGCCTTACCACATGATGCGCTCCACAGAGCAGCACTCGCGAACCACACCCCGGGACAGAAAGGCTTTCCTGCTGCACAAACCTACTGTAAAGGCACTCACACAACCCGGAGCTGTGCGGTAGAAAACCACCCTTAGCCAAAGTGTGCTGAATTCACCACAAGCAGCTTCTTTTGCATAAAACAAGGCAAGAACGTATAGCTATATTCCAGAAAGCAAACAAGAGGAAAGAAAAGAGATCAAGGGAAAACATTTTTCCATTTAGGCTCTGCCGAAGAAACACTGGAAGTCACCAGTGGGCAATATTTTAAACCACCGGTACAACCCACCACTGGAGAACATGCTTAAGACTGTTTGAGAGCTGGGTCCCCGTGTCTGCCAATTCTGATCTTTTTTTTTTTTTTTAAGATTTTATTTTTTTATTTGAGAGAGAGAATGAGAGATAGAGAGCATGAGAGGGAAGAGGGTCAGAGGGAGAAGCAGACTCCCCGCTGAGCAGGGAGCCCGATGTGGGACTCGATCCCGGGACTCCAGGATCATGACGGGAGCCGAAGGCAGTCGCTTAACCAACTGAGCCACCCAGGCGTCCCAATATCTGCCAATTCTAATTGCAGGGTGCGTTTTCTGAGCCTCACTACATGGTAATCTTCCTAAATGCGCCCTCATTCCCTGCAGAGGGAGGAGCGAGTATTGTACTGGGGAGATCAGCAGGGAAGAAAGCCTGGTGCCAGCTAAAAGGGCCTATCCCTTTACAGTTCTTACGTCCGTGCATGTTTGTGTGTGCATTAGCCACCACTCAGGGGTGTGGGGAGATGCATCTGCACATTCAAATTCTTCTCTGCGTTTCTATGCTCCCATCCCATCCACCATGCCGCCTGCATAATAAGCACCAAGGCGCCTGTTCTGAGGGGGCCGGGCTTCCAGGATACGCACAGGCATGGCATTGTTGAGCGTGTTGTTGTAGACGCAGGCACGCAAGGAATAATCGAGCATGCAATTTTCAAACAGCTGCAGAGCTTCCGTCACTTTTTCATGGAAGTCATCGGCAGATTTGTTCGAACTTGCAAAGTAGAGATAGTCGGAGTATAACCTGTGAATAAAATAAATGGGTATTTTTACCACCTGGGAATGAGAAATCATGCTCCTTGGGTGACAATGACAATCAACATGCAATCACACAATCTCATCTTATACAACAGGACCCTGCCATTTCTCTTTGTTCCCTTGTGGATGGGTCACTTCCTAACACTTCTCACACCTCCCCACCTCTGCCAGAGCCACCCACAATCTCTTGGACTCAGACTCGTCTACACTGGCCCCAGACAAGCCACCAGTGCTTTTCTTTATTCTTTCCAGCCTCTTGAGCACGCAGCCCTGCTTTCCCTGTCCCAGTAAGCTCAGAAACTGTGTAAGAGCGAAGACAGGCCATGAAAATGTTATGCCCCTTCATCTCTCTCTCCCTCCCATCCGAGGCAACAAGAACATCTGTCGCTCTTACAACATTACATTTCCTCATAAAAATTCCTGCCCATTCCACAGACGTTCCAAACATTAAAAAAAAAAAATTATGAGATGTATCTTTCTAGATTAATAGGGACTTATTTTTAACACAGTATAAACCCCCCCACACATATGCATGCAGTCACCTGTAACCCTGTTTGTCCACAGTTCTGTTCACACGGATCCCACCACGTGGATGTGCCACATCTTCCTGCGGTGCCGATCCCTGACCAAACTTTACTGGGGGTCCTCTAAACCTTCTTCCCAAGTAGGCCTCACCTTGTAGATGACCACATCCATCCCTGAATTGCCCAATTTCAGCAAGAATCCTGCTAGGTCGGTTTAGCCAGAATCCCCCACCCTCTGTTATCTGATCACCCTCAATATGTGGTGGGTTCCTGGTCCCCCACCGCCCCCCACGAGATGTCTGATCCCCCCAGCCTGTCTTCAGCCAGAACCCTGCTAGGTCCAGTTGGTCAAAACCCCGACCTGCTTACCCCGATGTGTCTTCTCAGTAATTTCCAACCCCCTGGCCCCCACTCCTCCTTGGCTATAAGTCCCCACTTTTCCCCGCTGTACCCGGAGTTGGGGCCAGTCTTTGTCCCCATGCTGTGTCCTGACCCCCCTGCAATGATCCTGAATGATGCCTGCCTTCCAGCCTTGAACAAGCATCAGGATAAGGGTCTGCTCTCTTGCTTGCTTGCTTTCTCTTTCTTTCTAACCTTCCTCCCTTCAATAAATCCTCTGCAAATATATTTTACTGGACTCTTTGCATTACAAATAGATTTCCTAAAGCATGGGATATTTCTTTTCTTATATCACACAAATAACCAGTAAGACAAGATGAATCATAACAGCATAATAAATGCAGCATGGAGAGTCTTCCTGCCCAGTTTCTCCGGTGGTCCTAACTGGAAGTCCTGCTCCCCAAAGGTGACCTTTGTTATCAGTTGCTGAAATAGCCTTCCAGGAATTTTCTGTGCCTACTCAAGCACATATCTGCATATTTTGTATTTTCGGAAACAAAGATGGCATCAGGTTGTATCGGATGGAGTCAGGTCACGGACCTACCACAGTGGCACTTTCCCAATCACCTCATTTGGAGGATTCTGAGCACCCATAAAAGCAGGTGAGATAGTACACTGCAGCTTGACAGGCCCGTGATTCCACTGTCACCCCATAACTTCTTTCTTTAACACAACTGAGTTGTGAATTCCCACACTGAATCTTCCTGCTTTCTGCTTGCAGAGAGGGTGAGTCTTCATCTTTTGCTTTTCAAAAATCCCTTCTTCATTTCTGCCTGGTGCCTTTCCAATGCCCACTCCGACAGGACCTCCCCGCTGCACCTTTCCCTCATACACCATCCTCCGCCTGCCTGTGGGAACACGGGGCTGGCGTGGGGCGGCCCCCTGGCTCCAAGGACTCACGTTCTCTCTCCTGCTAATGCCATACTTCCTGCCCCTGAACCCCAACTTCTCCAACGTGGCTTCACTTATTCCAGTGAAAGCAAGTCAGTAAATCTTTACTCCGTACCAGATGTCTGAGGAGTATGTATCTGTCCTGCCGGCTACTCTCTACGCTCCGGCCAACCCCAGCGCTCAGCCACATCCACTGGGGCGGAAACCACAGGGCCCCCATGGCACAGGCCTGCTGCAAATGTTCCTCCCACACCCCTCCCTCTAAGGGGAGGGGATGCAGATGTACGGATAACACGAGCATGGCTTCTCAGGGACCAGAGCTGCTTCACCTCAGACATTTGGCACAGGGCCTTTGACCCCTTTAGAATCCATCCACAGCCAGTGTCTACAGAGGACACCTGTGAGACGTCTGGAGATGCCTGGGATCTGCCCACAGATGGCCTAGAGTCTACACACACCCTGGAATGGGAGAGTTTTGTAGACCTCAGCCTGTTTGGTTAAACTCTTCAAAAGGCCCTGTTTCCAGACCCGTCATTAGTGATGCTCAGTGACTGGTGAGCTCATGCCCCCCAGATCTGTGCCCACCCAGGCACATTACCCAGGATGACACTACATCCACCTGTTACAGTGTCCCCCAACATCACCTGTCCATTACGGCACCCATCACTGCAGGCTGGTCATAGTATAACCTAGAGGCTGATGGGTAAAGGCCAAAATCAGATTTGCATGGGCCTCAAAAAACAATTCAGTTGTATGTGCCACCCGTACCATGTGGCCATGAGTCTGATGAGGTACCTTTCCCAGCTCACACATTTCTTAACAGTCCCACTGATATTATGGCCCAGGCCAAGAAACTATATCCAGGAGAAGTGACACCTTTGAAACCGTCATCAAAATCTGTGTTTAATAGTAAATCCAAGACCAAAGTTCTTACCAAGGACTCCTACAGGACTATCCACGTTCTCTGGTCAAACTGGAATTCTATCATATAAATTACTATCTAAAAACCCAACCACTGGGCCAAGCTTTCCATACTGAGAGTTGATTTTGTAGTAAGAACATTTCCTGTGGATGTCTGGCTCATAAATAAAACAAGAGCCCCAAAACCTGCCTCAATTTTAAACACCAAGTAACTTCATGCTGATTCCATACAATTCTTTAGAAATCAGGAAGGAATCACAGAGCATAAACTGGAACGCGGCTGATGTTCCAACCAGGCCAGGCCAGGCCAGCCCTGATAGGGGGCAGGAGGGTAGAGGGGACTACGGATTTTCATCTGTTTGAGGTGAGGTGAGATGAACCCAGGACCCCACCTATGAGGCAGGCTCAAGGCCTTTTACAAACAGGCCAGGCTCACTTCCTCAGGAGAGCGGAGGGGGGTGTCCCTGGCCTCTCAGACCCTCCAGGAACCCTGGGTCTGCCCATAGAATGCGCAGTGGGCCTCGGGATTCCCTGGAGCCCACGTGCGTGCCAGGATGTAGATCTGTGACCATACGCCCTTCACGCTCCTCTTTGTCAAAAACATCTGAGCAGAGACTCTATTCATCACAACGAATGGCCATCCCTTCTGTGGGGATTCTGTAGATACCCCCAGAATATGTCCCCAGTAATTGTGAATAGGATCTTATTTGGAAGCAGGGTCTTTGCAGACGAAATTCTGTTGAAGATCCTGAGATGAGATCATCGTGGATATAGGGTGGGTTGTAAATCTGATGACTGGTGTCCTTACAAAGGACACAGAGACACAGGGGAGAAGGCCACATGAAGGCGGAGGGAGAGGAAGGGGTGACACGGCCACAAGCCGGGGACCACCCAGGGCTGTGAGCCACCAGCAGCAGCTGGACACAGGCCTGGGACAGTCCCTTCCTCAGAAGTCCCATAAGGAACCTACCCTGCTGACACCTGGCCTTCAGATATCTAGCCTTCAGAACTGCCAGAGAATACATTTCTGTTGCCTTAAGCCACCAGGTTTATGGAAATCCGTTGCAACAGCCCCAGGCAATGTGTGCCGGTTTTAACCTCCCATTGCCAGGAAGGCTGAGGAGTCATTTCCGCCAGCACCTCTCTCCTACCCGGAGACCCTGGTGGAGTCCTGAGTGCGCAGCTGGATGGGGGGCACAGGGTCGCTTTCCCACAGAGATACAAGGAAGGCAAAGGAGAAGCATGAGCTCTCGCTTTCGGGGGAGCGCGATTTGGGTTCCCTGAAGAATTAGGCTCATGCTTCATAAGAACGTCAGCAATACTCACTGCTATGATTTCCCTGCAGCTACTCTCCTGGGGGGAAAGGACCAGGTAGTGACCAAGGATGACTGAAAGCCACTTGGATAGTTTAAAGTCATTCAGAAAATGTTGAGAAGGGCAGCAAATGTATCAAGAATAAGGATCCAAAAGCTGGAGTAGGCACACCCATGTAACAAGAGATAAATCTAAACGTCCACTTTAAAATCAACTGTAGAATGATGAAGTAGGGGAGAGAAGCCAGCAGGGATAATACACAACAGGTTTAAGCTGACATAAGCTCATAATCAATCACCACAGAACTGCCTGGACACTTATGCAAATCTCGGGATGCGTTAACAAAGGTAGGGCACTGGGAATGAGGAAGGGTGTCGCTCTGCTCCACCCTGGCACATGGGGACCCCAAAAGATGCTTGCCTGCTTCAGTGCTGGGGAATGGTGGGGGGAAGGAGCTGTTCCATCTGAAGAAGCAAGACTTAGAAGGAAGAATAAGTTTCAATGGCTATAAGGCTGTCCTGGGCTGGAAGGAGACCTGAACCATGCTCCTGAAGGACTGACTGACGAAGGTTCAGGAACTAGTTTGAAGGGAAAAAGTCTCCAGCTGGGATAGTCCAGCATGAAGCGAGCGGCCCCGGCAGCAGGAGCAATCATGACTGGCAGGGCTGAGTGTGAGCCAGCTGACCCTGAAACCCAGCCAGCCCCCTGGCAGCTTAGGGGCTGCCAAGCCCCCTTCTGCTGAACCACCTAATTTTCTTCCTCTTCAACCATCCCAAACAGATGGGTGTTACATTTGGCCAGGACTGTTTCCAAGAGCAATTCCAAATATAAGTCCAAATACATTCCGGGCCTTCTGTGCTATGGTTATTTTAGAAGGCTGCTGGGCAGCCCTGTGACGGGGGGGTTGGCCCTTGGGAAGGTGTGGCTCAGCTCCTGC